AAAAAAAAAAAAGCAAAGAAAAGCTAGCTTTTTATTATTATCTTTGCAGCATGAAAATTTTTCAGTTTTGTAGTACTTTCCTTTTGGTAATGTTATTTGCTCATGAGTCTCCTAAATTAATAGGACATATAGAAAAGGCACATTTTTCCAAAGATGGAAATTGCATTACAGAAGGGTGAGTTTGGATTTTAAAATTAAAGAAGAAGAAAAACCATTCAGTTGATTACACACAACGTTTTTTTGAGAAGTAATGCAATATAATGCATTTCCCTTACAGCATTTGGAGGAAAGTGCTTTTCCATCTGTGTCATTACAAGTAATGGTAGATTAAAAAAATTAAATGCATATTCTCCATAGTAAATATGAATTTAGTGTTGCTGAATGACCAAAAAAAATTACCTTAGAGACTAAAGTTCTTTATTTATCATCAGAACAGTATCTTCAATAATATGGGGATAGTTCTTATTCTTACTGCTAAAAAATACAGTGCATTAATTTTAGAGGTGCACCGATAAAGATTTTCTTGGCTGATACCAATAGCCAGATATTAACTGGGGGTATCGGCTGATGCCAATCTGATAACTGATTTACAGGAATGCAGCCAGACATAATGGAGAGCAGCTCCCTGCAGGTAGGTCTGTGGAGGGGAAGGGGTGTGGTGGGGGAGGGGCAGACCGAGGCCCACACAGGGAGGGAGGGAGGGAGTGGGGCAGGGGCTGGGGTTGGAGGCACTGCCCAACCAGGACAGTGAATGGGACCTGGGACAGGGAGCGGGACAGAGCTGCAGGCAGCTCTTCTAGGGGATCAGCATCCCAGTGCTTAAAAATAGTGGTGGGGGTGCTTGAACTACAGATTGGTGAATGAGCTATAGTTCAAGTGCTGCTGTCACCATTTTTAAGAATGGGGATGCTTTTAACCAGAGCCAAGTGGGGCAAGGGCAGATGTGGGCCGCTTGCTGTGGTCTCAGAGTTCTACACCCTGCTGCCTTTGCCCCAGGGACCCTGCACTGGCCATGTGTCCCCTGCCAACCCAGCAGCCGGAGGCACAACTCACCGCCCACACTGCTGCCAGTTAGGCAGGGGGTGTGTGGCCAGTGCACGGATCCTGAGGGAAAGGCAGGAGAGTGGAGGGCCCTGAGCCCTCAGAGAGTATCCTGTACCTGTTCTGTACACAAATATGGGGGTACATGCCTCCCCTGGGGGGGGTGCACAGTGATGGGAAGCTGCTCCTGGCTACATGAATGTGTTTGGCTGTGTGCATGGACATGGCCTCTGAGGCTCCCGCCAGAAGGCATATTATATTTATCAGTTAACATTATTGGCTCTACTGGCCAAAAAAAGCCAATAACCAGTAATGTTAGTTTTCCTTTTATCAGTGCCAATCTGATAGGGCACTGATATATCGGTGTACCTCTAATTAATTTTTCCATTTGAGAAAAGAAATGAGACCAACACTATGCTTGTATCTTTAAGAGGCAAACAATTTCAGGTGGTGTTTAGGTGATTTTCCTTTCTTTCGAATTGTGTGACCAAACTCAGGTGTGGAGAAATGTTTTAAACCAGAAATTCTCTGTATCCTGTGTTGAGCAGCCTAAATTGATTTATGGGTAAACTATTATATTCAGCTTTATTAAAATCCCAACTGCGTGTTTTTATGTTATTTCAGAAACTAATGGAACGTATTCAGAACCCAGAGTACTCAACAACCATGGATGTAGCACCTGTCATTTTAGCTGCTCATCGAAACAACTATGAGATCCTTACAATGCTACTGAAACAGGATATATCATTACCCAAACCTCATGCTGTGGGCTGTGAATGCACACTGTGTACTGCAAAAAATAAGAAAGATAGTCTACGGCACTCCAGGTAAGAGTATTGGTTCTTGATAATAACTAGAAATCCTTAGCGTAGTCTGGTGGCATCATGTGCACTAGGTTCAATATGTCTTTGTTTATGATAGGTTTATGGATATGTTTTTAAGAGTTAGTTAAACTAGAAAAGTAGAACTCTCTTCCACTGAGGAATACCTCTCCCTTATTCTTCTTACAGTTACTCTTAGCTGAAATCGTATATGGAGAATAGGTGATAGCCCATTACATGGATTTTGTGCTTTTTATAGTAAGGGGAGTCTCCGTTATGCTTAAGTATTAAATGAATTTCAGGAGCTTGTTTAAAAAATTCTTATTTACCCGTATTTCAGCAGGAGTACGGTGCTTTCCATTGGACTCTCCTGGTGCTGTTGGTAAACTGTAACTTTACTGAGACAAACCACTATCCACAGTTGCCTCATAATATTGAGTAAATGCTTCCTTTGAACTTGCATATTTATCAGCATGCATTTCGAAGGTTCCTTTGGCAAAACTACTAGAACTATCTTTTTGTTTGTACTTTTGAAATGTTTGTGGCTTAGGGTTGAAAAGAGACCTTGTTAGTATTATCTTAGGTATTTTTTTTCCAGATGTCTGGCCTTAATTAATATTTGTCAGTGTTATCCTCTCAGAAGCATAAATGTTGTGCTTGGTCGCCTACCTTAGCCTTCTGAGGTCTTTTATTGAAAAAGTGTTATACCAATGCATAATAATAATATATGGTAAGACTATGCTTTTTGAATAAATGGAAATTATCTTTTATATTTTAATACATGGGAGTCCTGTTTGAATTGCGTCTTGGCAAAACCACAGTTTGAATGATACAGAGCTGACAGTAAAAAAAATAAAATAAAATAAAAATTGGAGAATGTAAGAGCTTCTGTAATAGGTCTATATCTTTCCCCTATAAGAAAATAAATCCCATTGCTTAAGATATAAGAGTGATTTTGATAGCTCTTTGTTGATGTATAATGTATAAATACTTAGCCAAATTTTTTGTATAAATACTTTTAATTAATGTATAAATACTTTGCCAAATTCTGTCTGCATCTAGGAGTAGTTCTAGTTGTATAAATATAGTCATAGCTTTTATTTTTGAAGCCTTGTAACTAGTGAAGGATTAAATTTTTGCTTGTTTTTTTTCATATAGTTCAGCCATTTAATTCAGTTCATTAGTTAGTACACAGTAAAGTATCTAATGTTGGTGAGTACATACAGCTGGAACTTGTTCTGATTTCCAGTTCATTGTAGTCCATAATATTAAAATGGACAAGAGTTTACACACACGTTTTTGCAAATGAATCATAGTCCTCTTTTGGAGGAGAGACACTTCCATGGTTCCAGCAAAGAATTTCCTACAGTCCGAGGAGTTCATTCACTATTTGTTATATATTTTCCTTAGCTGTACACCCCTTGTTCCCACCCCCCTCCTTGTAGTAATGCTTTCTAACAATTATTTTTGGTCATGGAAGTTTGGGTTTTTTTTAATTACTAATTTTCTGCCTGAAGGTGAATATTCACATGAAGAGATTAAATAACGCTGCTTCCAACTTGTCTCTTGAGGGAAGTGCAGTCTTGGTCAGAATGGCAGTGGTTAAGACAGCTCTTTTGTCTTCATGGACAGAGTGAAGCAAAAATGCCTCGCTCTTTCTTCTAAATAAAGAGGAGAAGGCATTGTTCCCACAGGTTTTTCTTATAGGTCTGAGAACTGCTTGTGAATGTGGGAGGGGAGAAAAATTAGACAGGACTGTGCCTCCCTGAGTAAAAGCTTCTCTGACCCTGCCTCCCTGGCTGGTGAATGGTATGGCAGATAGTAGGTTCCTGTTTAACCCCACCCTTCCCTATTAAGTGAGGTCCACACAGACGCACTTACATATTTTAGCTTGATTGTATATAGTTGCCTGCCTGTTCTAACAGAACGATCACAAGCATATCTATAGGATGAGCAGAACAACCCCCCACAGTTGCACTGAGGTTGATTTGGAATTTCAGTAGTGAGTATCTCCTGCCCTTGTTTTCTAGGTAACAGTCTTTCTGCTATCTTGGATAGTCTTGCTATACTGGACTTCAGTAATTCTCAGGTAGCCGAAATGCGTGGGGCATTTTTGTATGCTTTTCTACAGTGTTTTGGGATCTTTTTGATATAGTTGAACCACGTCTTATTAAATCAATTTCTCTTGTCTTTTATTTGCAGTGTCCCGTGAGCAGCGCTGTTTAACAACAGCAGCATTAAAATGTGTGACGTTTTAAAAATGTTGCGATCTAATAGGAGCAAATTTTGTCTTAGTTGATACCTTCTGCTCCTATAATCAGTACAGTGGTAGCAGCAGGGAGAAAGAGAGACAATGTGGCAGCCTTGTGATACAAGCTTCATTTGAAATAATGCCAGTTATTTGTGTTTGGAGGGCTATGAAATCTTTTAATTTTTTTGAGAAAAGGAGCATTATGTTAACATTATTAACATCACCATTATTAAATAATATTAAAATTGTTTTAAATACTTATGTGGAAAACTGTATGAAAGTTTTCTTTTTACCTTTTACTGGTTACAGTTCATTTTAAATATGATTTAAGTCACACTGAAATGATGCTTGTGGGATATAAGTGGATTTTTTTTGTTTGCTTTGTTTCTCTTTAAATTTTTGCTTGAGATTCTGCAAGCTTTCAGAACATATTCGGTTTGAAAATGTTAATCAAATGAAATGTCTTGATCCCAAGAAGTTATCTTACTCTCTGAACTTTTGTCACAGGTTTCGTCTTGACATCTATAGGTGTTTGGCCAGTCCGGCTTTAATAATGTTAACAGAGGAGGATCCTATCCTAAGAGCTTTTGAACTTAGTGCAGACTTAAAAGAATTAAGTCTTGTTGAAGTTGAATTCAGGTATGAATGAAAGGGAATACACACTTACATTTACTTTTGTTTCAGTATAGTTATTTCATGTAAAAAAACAAAAATAACTCACTGATGTTTCAATAAAGTGTACAAAAGAGAAAATAACAATGTTTTCCTTCTTTCTGTTTAGTACAGGGGTGAGCAATTATTTTGGGTGGAGGGCTGCTTACCCAGTTTTGGCAAGCTGTCGAGGGCCTCATGGGTAGCCCCGCCCCTTGACAGGTGCCCCGCCCCCTGGTCACCATCTTGGGACCAGTGTTCCAGGGCCAGTGTCGGCAGGGCCCAGAGTGGGGCATAGGCTGGCAGGGGTC